TCTCTCTTATGTTAATCGTTAATAATTATCGCTGTATTACATTATTAGAAAGAAATATCAAAGTAAAGATGCATATAACAATTACAGACGATGAGATCGTAATATTATTATAGAAGATGTTATAGAAATGTCATTTATTATATTACGTGAAAAATGATAATTAATCCTTATGTTTGTTATAACGAAGAAATTTAGAATAAAATTATTTCAAATTCTTTTTATAAAGTCATCGATATAATTAAACATTATTTTATTATTCTATATTATGTATATGTATACAGATTTTTGCATTATGCAATCTGTATTAATAATATAAATTCAATTTTTAAGAAAAAATGCATACAGCTAACTTATCCTGTTCAAACTGTTTTCGACTATGTTCGATAATCAATGCTACTTAAAACTACAATAATACTACTTAAGACTATTATAATAAGTAGAACCAGTCGATTATAATCAGACGACGATTACTCGTCTCTCCCCAATTAATTTCTTCGATTTTCGACCGAGAAACGTTTCACAATTATTTATCAGGTTGGACAAAATGTTTTTATCTAATCTTCAAGAAAATTCAAAAGAATCACGATATAAAATTTCGCACTGGAATAAAATAAATATCACCAATGTATCTATAAAATCTTAATTTTTCCCAATATTTTAACATTATTCGATAATAAAATTTAATCTTAAAAAAAAAAAAAAATAACGTGCACAGAAACTACTTCTAACCAACCCATTTTCGTTAAACAGTTTAACAATTAAATTGTTACAAAGTATTTTTTTTCTTTTATTTTATTAGAATCCAATATCGTAACATTATATCGAATTTCCCCATCAACAAGTAAACTACCTCAATTTACAATATTACGCATAAAAATTCATTTACATTTTTATCCCTCTGAGCAATCAAGTTCAAAAAAAATTCTCCTACAAAAAATAACGAGAACGAGATATAATTTTCAAGCAAGACGATCCATTTATCAATTCCAATTGTATATCTCTTCCCTCTATATTTTTAATTCCTAATGGTTTGTTAAACGAACAACTGTTGAAGAAAAAAAAAAAGTTGGCAAGCATTATGAATCAATGAATGAAGTGGGTGCATGTATGAGTGTCTGTATGTAGACGGGGCGCAACTTGTATACTTACGGTGCATAGGGTGCGAACCATCGGACACACCCGGGCCCTTCCTCGAGAGCGTATTTCATGCTCAGCGGATAACTCAATATAGGAACTCTTAACCGTTTACACAGTTTGTACTGAGCTTTCACTAACACGTGCAAACAATAGGTGCACAGCACCCCTATGATCACTGTTGCTATTACACCGGTCACAAGGCCACTGTTGCGGAACGCGTTCGGCATCGCCAGGATACCGGTGCCCAAACTTCCTTTTAACAAATGTATCAGAGTCTCTGCGTTCCTGCAAAGATTTGCACAGGGAGAGAAGGAGGGGAAAAAGAAAGTGTTTGAAATTTGTTAATCTCTTTGAATTAAAATTGATTAAGGAAGGGTACGTTGTTTTTGGTAATAATTCTTTTGGATTCGAAGTTTAGTGATTCGAGCGGTTTAATAAATTTGTTCGAGGGTATCTGAGAAAACCAGTGTTCGAATAAAAATGGCTTATCTCCAAGTGGCTTATGAAATTTATGCTCGAGTTGTGTGCAAGTGATACAATTCTTATATAATAGAGATTACAGGAAATAATACGAGATATACGAGAAGTTGCATTCCATTCTTAGGCATATTTAAAAATATGATGAAAAAATTTTAAACAAGTGGTGAATATCTGTGGACTCTTAAAAAAAAAAAAAAAAAGGAAAGAAATTATTTTTTTCCACATCCAACTATTCGAGCCAGAAATTCGTTTAAATTATAGAAATACTCACGATGTCGGATTTGGCCTATTTCGATGTTTGTGGGGATCGTAGTCTTCTACGTTTGTGGTCTGCGATATTGGGACTTCCGATGCATTTAGACCACTTCCGGCGATTTCATTATTAACTCTGCAACCGCATCAATTTGCAAATGCAATCTACATCCCCGTGCTTTTATGTATATCGAATTTTGAAACATTGTGATACATCTATCGTGGTGATACACGTGTTTGAATTCGGTATCGGTTTAACAATTAAAAAATAAAATTGAAATAAATGAAAGAAAAAGGAAAAATATTTATATACGAATAATGAACTTGGAAAATGAGAATACGACAGTTTTAAATTCTTTTCGAGGTATAAACGAAACCAGACGTACTTGTACGGACTTTCGGAACCGATCAGCTGCATGTTTATCGTCTCCTCCTTCGCGTTCTCCATTTTGTTTCTTGCTTAATCTCTCGAGCTTCTGTATTTTTCATGGAAAAAGAAAAAACTTTAGTCAAATCATCGAATTATATAAAAAAAAAAAAATTATTTTTTACATTTTTTTTTAAAATATATTAAAAGTGACATCTCAATTTTAATTTTACGAATTTTATCATATCATCGCGATTGTCACCAGTTTATATTTGTTCATAATTTCCAATTGAAAGAAATAACAACTAAAGAATTAAACATTTGTTCATTTTTATAAAAAAAGAAAAAGAATATATATATATATATATATATATCCATTTATAGAGGGTTAAATACTTTCATGAGTCACATAAGTACCATTATAACAACTCTTCTTCACTCGCTACCTCCCCTCTTCCAATCAACCCATGCGTAACACTCAATGCGACTCATTCAGCACGAACGAGACATAGGAAAATTCCCAGCCACGAATGCACATCTCATTCTCCATCTTATATCTATAAGTAATTCGTATCGAGCGATAGGCAAGCAAGCAAGGAACACCGTGAGAAACGTGCAGGGCTGAACGCTACTCTTTTTTTTTTTTAATTAAGTTAAATCAACTTGGATCCATTTTTATTATGTCAAAACTTTTTTTGTACTTTTAATTAAAAATTTATCAGATAGATTTAATTAATTATTGGATTGGAAAACTCTCGATATATATTTTCCCTAGTATAATTTATCAATCAAACTTTTGCAAATTGTTTCGTCTCTCTTCTTTATCATGTTTAATGCCGTCGAAAAAAAAATATATATATATAAAAGAAAAAAGAAAAGAAATAAGAAAGAATTGGGTTATCCTGTACGCGGAAGAGATGATATTGGAAGCGGGATCAGGATCAAAGGCACGACCTAGATATCGGTGGAGGAAGGCTCCTGATCAATTGGCGGATGTGGAGCAATCCGATACGACGCGATACGATAAAAATGGCAATTCATCATTGCGAATCTGTTCGGATCCGCGTGTGTCTACGCGTGTAGCTTTAGCACATTCTTTCGCGAACTGATTGCTCTTAATTATTGCATTGAGGTCAAATGTGTAGTTAACTTACTGAAGGTTATACATAGCGACCGTACGTTTTCACTTCATCGTTTGCCAACCTACCAATTGATCCATGAATCGAACCGAAGATCTTGCGCTCGTTACTTGATCGTTTTTGTCGAAATTTCGACAAGTTTGTTCATTGAACTTTTTCCCCCGATTTCGAAATCATTTCTTATCGAAAAAGATCACTGGACGGATCGTTGGGAGTTTTAAATGATCTCCACGTGGAAAAATGTAATTGGAATTTATCAAATTTATTTTCTTTTTTTATTATCGTTATTATCTTCATGAGTGTGTAGTATGTAGAAAGATTTTTATCACGTGGGGTGATTTACGTGTTGGAAATTTCATCTGAAAGATGACGTGGATATGGAATGAATTGATTAAGACGATGTGAGTTTTTGGCTACTTTTGTGGAAAAAATAATCGAGGGTTGATGGAATTACATTTTATTGGACGTGAAATCACGATTCACGTTCGAAAAAGCGAAAGCACGCAGAAATAAGGAAATCATTATCTAATTATCATATGAAGCGCACAGAATAGAGGCTAAAATGCTTGAACCAGTGCGCGATTTCCCTTTGATTGAATAATGATCGTGCGTGAAGATCGGTGTGGTTAAAAGTCGGACGAGAGTAGGATTCTCTTCTCCTACAAAATCTAATAAAGGAAACTGAGAAAAATCAAAAGTAACGAGTGAAATAAATCAATGTTGTAGTTTAAACTTTCCAATTATTTATTACATTCCCGCAATTATCTCAAATAAACTCGAGATTTTATTCCCTCCTCCCCTTCTTTTTAATAATAATGATTAATTGATTAAAAATTAAATTCTTCCCCTTATCAATTAATCCGTTTCATTTTTCAATCACTTCGGTATTGGCATAAAAATCCAATATTTAACAGTATGAATATCGATAAGAAATCCACATCGATATAAAATTGTTGACCAATCATCGAGCTAAAAATATTTTCTGCCTCGTGATAAGCATCATTGACACGATTAAACGAGCGCCGAATTTAACTGTCAATCATCTATTTCGCGTGCGCATAGATAAAAATTGACGATTAAAAGATGGAAGAAGAAAGAATATATATAAAATCCTTCCTTATGGTCGTTAAATTGTCAATGTGTACAGATTGGATAGCGTAATTTTCTAAACACGATTGAAAAGCATATCTTACATACCAATTGTCAGTTGCGATTAGTTGATTATCAAATCAACTGTGAGTCCGTGTGTCAAACTCGGACAATGCAACGATTATTTTATAATGCTCGAATCCTGTTGTTTTCGTGTGTTTTCGTTGAAGGAACGATGAGTTTTGATTTAAAAAAAAGTCATGTCGAAGGATTCTTAATTTTTAAGAACCAAGGGTTAAGAAGGGCCTTCTCTTTACTCAAATTTGACGTAATTGCAAAATTTGTAATAGTAGAAACATCGTATAATTTCAATTTTATTATTAATTTTAGCTCACCTTATCACGCAACGAATAAAGATCGTTTTTTCCTTAAAAAATTCTGACTACTGCGTTTGTTGATTTCCTTTCGTGGTCGCTGATTTCTCCTGCGAAAAGAAAAAATTCATTCTATTTTTTGATACAGTTGAATTTAATTTTGTAAGATATGAATTATTATCATTCGACATGCAGCAAGTAACTTGTTGTTCAGATTAAGCGCTTATTAAAACTTCCTTCTCGAGTGTCAAGTTTCAAACTTCCTCCAGCTTACGAAAATGAAATCGTGATTCATTCGATAACCAAATCTTTATAATCGCTTCGTTCAAATTAAGAAAATATCATCTTCATCCATCTATGCATTTGTTCAAATCACAAATTTATTTGTCCTATATTTGCATAATGTATCTTCATCTATTTCGTTCCATTCTCTAAATCTCTGAATATTTTTATTTCGAGCAACGTATATTCTTCCATTTTAAAAACGTGTATAAAATGTCTACGTGGAGAAAGAAATCTCTCTCCCTCCATAGAAATACGTATTTTTTTAGGATCGAATTAATCGAAATAGGTAATTGCGAGTAGCAATTGAGAGAGGGATAAATGGCGTCACCTTTGATTACTTAAGCAACGCCCTCGCATCAAATGCTGTGCAAAGCAGCTTAAGTATAGTAATCGATCTCCTAATTCTTACTTCCTCGGAACGCTTTAGGGGAACATGTGATGACGGCTCATGAACGAGCTCGATCACCATCGAAACAATGTCACTTGGAATATATTTACGCGTCTAATTTTAGATGTGGAAACAATTTTCTGATGAATGATCCATTATCCTCGCTTGAAATTGAAAAATTCTTGAAATTAAAAATAAAAAAAGGGCAACGATTTGAAGTGATTTTTACACCCGAGGATATCGATTCATCTTGATGAATTTCGCGTCTGCTTGGAAACGTTACAGGAGAAAAGAACATTTTCTAATGAAATTTGAATGGATTGTTAAATGGACAAGTGTGGATGATTTTTTTTCAATTGCCGACAAAGGAAAGGGAGAAGCGATGGAAGATGAATTAATTAAAATAAGAGGGAATGGAATAATTTTTGGAAGCGGCGACACGTTTCCACGAGTTTTAACGAGATTCCTATCGAATGACCCCTATTTTTCGTCGCAAATATAGTAAAGTAAGGGTTATTAAGATTGATGAGGGAACCGTTATGCAATAGTTGAACCGTTTGCTCATTCCAATTGGCGTGACATCGTATCGACTACCGATTATCTTTCTCGGAATAATCGATTCAAAATAATCGTATCTACGGCTAAAATGAAATTAATAAAGTGAACAGATTTTCAAAAGATATTTTAAATCATTTGTGAAATGGAAATTTCATTTTTTCATAAATGAAACGACGAATTCTTCGCTCACGTATTATAAAATAAAGATTAAAGAAAAATTTATCGAATTATAAATCAATTTTTAATAGTGAATTTTAAAATAATACAGATTAAATGCAATTTCAAATTAAGAATTGAAGAGAATTATAGAAATATAGAATATAGAAATAGAAAATAAATGATAACAGCCGTATTAACATTAAAAAATATTACAAAAGACGATTATTAACGCAACGGAAGAATTTTAACAATCATTTTTTTTTTTTTTTATCAATCGTGAATTAAGATAAAAATTGCAACAACTTTAATCGCGATACAATTTCATATTTCATCAATTACCGTTTATAGCGTTTTTATTGGGGTGCTAATACAATCTATATTCGTACACGTACACATTCTACTCTAATTCTCTGTAATCGTACCATGTTACCGATACACCATTCTATTTAAGACTCAATTTAATATCATCATCGGAGCTTTTCTCTCTCTCTCTCTCTTTGTGTATCACTAGTTTAATTCCTCGTGCCTAATTTTCAATACGATCAATCAATCCGTTCTAATTGAATTTAAAAAATATCATCAAACCTCCGAGAAAAAGAAAAAAGAAGAAGAATTTCAAATACTCTCGAAATAATTTCGGAAAATTCAGAATTTTTTCTCTCAAAATCGTTTACGCTTCGTTGTGAAAATTCAATTACAATAAAAATAACAAATTACAATCATCTTCCAGATTGGAGGATCAATCTACTTATAAGTCGTATTGTAAGTCACCGATTAATCGCACCAACAATTAATCCAATAATGAAACACAAATTTCACTTACTTCCCAAACTTTTTCAAAAAAAAAAAAAAATAAAAAGCACGCAGCCGATTATTACGTAAAATTCAAGAACATTTCCAATTCGAAACAAACTTCTTCTTCCACAACTCTTCCCAATCTTGAATATCCACGATGGAGGATATCTACACACCGTAGAACAGGCAACAAGCGAGAAGATAATATAATGATCGAATCAACGAACGAAGAAATTACTTGGATGTAAGAGGATACGATTGAATTCTGTCCTAGACTCACCAGATGAGACACATCCGCAGCGAGGGAAAGCGAAAAAATGCGTCGGATATAACGCGAGATAATAACCGAGGTTGGATCCTCGTTTATGTGGACGGGCCAGAGGATGTCCAGCGACTGGTAAATCGCGGAACATTTCAATTTCCAACCGCGACTTGGACATCACGTGACAACGCAAGTTGGAAACTACGCCTCTGGCATGGGGGCAGAAGGGATTCAGATGCGACGAGGATGGGGCGCCAGTTCGCCCGTTGCTCCGGAACAGGCAGCTTTCACACAATATTTTCTTCTTTCTTTCTTTCTTTCTTTTTTTGGTTGAAAGAATATTTCGCTTGTCTGTGATTTATCGGAGAATCGGTGATAAGATGAAAGAGGAAAAGGTATTTTCTGAGATGGAGGAGAATGAAACTGGAAGAAATTGGAATTCAAGGTGAAGTTTGAGGTTTGGAGTCGTTCGAATAAATTATTTGGTGGAAATTAAGGTGATGTTTGTCGAAAGTTTGGGGAAGGTTTGGATCGATTTGGAGATATGAAGTTGGGGAATATTTTTGAACGTGGTGTGGGATGAAGTTTAGATAATTTAGAGATTTGAATTCGGTGTGGAATCGATCCATTTCGGGATCCAATTTGAGATTTTAGATTATATTTTTGACTTGGTATCGAATTTTAAGAAATTTGAGATTTTTGCGATACTGAAATTGAGTTTGGAAACTAGATTCAAGCTTTGACAACTTGCTCCTACCTACTTTGAATTTTGACTTTCAAACTCTGGAATTCCTTCACTTTTTGATTAATCATTCAATCTTGTTAAACGTGAGATTAATTAACTTCGATTAAAACGTTCGTCAAAAAAAAAAAGAAATACGATTTATCCTTTGAGGATTTTCAAGGATGCTTATGAAAGAAGACACAGATTTGGCGATGAGAATCGTATAAATACCTATTAACCGTCAACTTTGGTAGAGAACGTATCGATTGACCCACAAAGGGGATCACGATCATGCGAACAGAAATTATAAAGATTGCCATTTATTAAAGGTAACGAGCCCGTTGAAAGACACTTTACATCTCAATATTTCCTAGCTATTTTTTATAATTTGTTATCAAATTAAATTAATAACTCAAAGTTAAATTAATCCAAAATACTATAATTTCAACTTGATGCAAGTTAATAATAATAGTTTAAACATTTATTAAATATATTTCATTTCGTGTCAATGAATATCAACGATCTCTATCCATTAAAATATAAAAAAATATAAGAATTATAAAATTATATTCCTCAGGATGGAAACCTGTGATTAAGTGTAATCTAGATAATCTTGTAATCAGCTATGACTTAATGATGGAAATTAATAATAGCAGTTATTAAAATTTCATGATTTTAAACATGAAGTGAAAGATAACCGTGATAAGGATGATATTGATATTATCAATAAAAGTCGATGATTCGAATAAAAAAAAAAAAAAGAAAAATAGCAGGTTTCATTTTCTTTGATATATATTGTTGTATTGTTATATGTATGAATCTGTCACTGTCACGATTATATTTGCGTGGACAAACGATAAATCAGGCATAGCGCGATGCATGAAAAGAATATATCGATCGTCAAGGGTGTGTATATGCTAAGAGTATTAACTTGACTCTTAGTCTTTGTGATCTCTCTTTGGATTATTAATAATTATTGTCTCAATCGATGTTTCTTAGTAAGGTAATAAAAATTTCTATAAAAGAGATCTGTTAAATACATATTTCTATTCATAGAGTGAAATAGAAATATATTATAAAGGCGATAATCAAGGCAAGTGATAATTAATTTTTTTATTTATCAAATATTTTAAACGTTGCGTTAAAAGTATAGAAAATATTTAAAATATTCGCTTTAACATTTTGATTAAATAAAAATAGTGAAAAGGAAAAAGAAGTAAAGTAAATAAATTTTATAAAAATTTTTATTACTTTAAGACTCGTAATAAAACAACCCTTTGATTCTTCGTCTTCTAAAATATATATCCTAAAGGGTAAGATTAAAAAATAAGGTAAAGATTAAAAAATACGAGAGAAAGATTTACCTTTTTCTTTTTTTTTTTAATGTGTCTAACTAAGTAGAATACTAGAACGTAACAAGTTTCCAAGAACACTTACTGTTCACCCTCTTGAGATATGAAAGAAGAAAGAAGACCGATCTCACAATTGGCTAGATAAAAAGAAACGATCATACACACACTTTTCAACGGCACGAGAAAGTGCTGAATGTGAACCACTTCTGCACCATTGACAACCCTTTTTCTATATAGCTACACACGTTATATAATCAACTACGTCTGATTATAAATCGAAAAATAAATCTCACATTCGAGACACATTAAGATTCGTTTCTGGAAACATTCTTATTGATGAAAATGAAATTGCATTTGAATCATGCAGTACGAATCACAATTTTCTATTCACAATTCAGTTTTTAATTCTTTACATTGATCCATAACATTAGTCCATGTTCATCGTGGAAATCGAACTTTATAACTCTGTAAGTGCTGTTATTAAAAACCTCTTGAACTATTTTGTTTTTCCATGCCTGTAGTATTTCTTTTGATTTATCACCAGTTTCTAATTCTCATCTTCTTTTATTTTTTTACGACTAACAATCTTTTACCAATTTTCACGCATATCTTTCGCCACTCTCAAAAAACTACAATTACAATTCGCGTCAAGTTCAAAGTTACGATTTATTCGATTTTAATTCGATACAAGCAAACAATACCGATTTCTTCACTTCGCACGTAATTAGCCTCGAACCATCCTATCATAAATTTAAAAAATCTGATTTATCACGTCCACCCCCAAATCAACCGAAATCACTCAAAATCAACTTTACTCACGCACCAACCTCATTCGACGCCGAAACGATCTTACGTTTAGACTTCAACTCACTCTTTCTACGATGCACCATCTCGAACGGTGAAAGAACACGGCCGAGAAAGGAATTTTCTTCCCCCTTGCGAGGACTTACGTTGTTTTCCTTTTTTTTTTTTTTTTTTGTAGGGGATGAAAAAGACGTGCACGAGATCAGGAACACGAGGGCGCGTGTGCTGGTCGCACGCACACGGGCGGGCCTCTTATCGACATGGGGTCGCGTGCGAACTGTCCGCAACGGGGTTGTTTCGAAGTATGCGGGGGCAGCTACCCCGATAGCGATCCATACGACCGTGGCAAGACGTCTCATGGCGTCTGCGTCGAAATCCGCCACCCTCCACCACCCTCCCGAGCAACCCTCCCCTCTTCCAGTTGCTGCAACTATGCTTTTGTAACTATATGTAAGACGTAAAGTGTTCGTGTATTGTTATCGAAGAAGGGTATTTGGAATAATTCGGTGTAAAAGAAGTAAAAAGTTAAAATTGGTGGGAAAGAGGGGATAATTCGTTGGGGAGAGATTGAGAGGAGGAAGGTTAAGGAGTTGGGATGAGGAGAGATCGATTTGAGGCGAAGTTTTTGAAGTTGGAAAATGAAGAAATTCTTGTCTGTACGAGAAAAATTTTTTGATTGTCACAACAAATTTTATTTCACGGCTACAAATATCTTCTGAAGTAAAGTAGATAAAAAAAAACGTAGAGGGTTTTTCTTCTTTTCTTTATAAATCCGTTCACTATAATTCATTATATTATTAAATCTTCGACGATTGATCCTCATTCAGTTTAGGAAGCATATCGAATACGCACCCTGCTTACGGTTATATAATATAAAAAGAAGAGAGAAAAAAAAAAAAGTAAATAACGTGTTCCAGATTAATATTTTTATCTTAATACGCAAATAAATAATTTAATAACATTAATATATTTAAAAACCGAGAGATTTCGTTCTTTCGCGATTATTATTATTATTATTCCTTATTATTACAACTTTCTCTTTTTCTTTTTTTTTTCTTTTCTTTTTTTTTTTTTCTTTTTTCTTTTTTCTTTTTTTGTACATCATCGTCCGTATCTCAAATTTCGTATGATCCACAATTGATTCTCCGTATTCTCAGTTATATACATGTATCGTCTGTATAAAAAAAAAAGATTCCAAGGAAATATCATTCCTTGTTTCGCCCAGTTAATCGATTGATCAATTATACCTCGGAAACAATTTCAGGCATGCATCCTTTGCCATCGCAACAGAGAATCACATGACGGAATGATATTTCTCACATTATTATTATTATTATTATTATTATTATTATTATTACAAATTTACAACGTCGCTTCGAAGAAAATGATAGTCTCGAATAAAAAATGAAATGATGTTGCATGCCGAGATTCTCTCAAAATGTCACAAGAACACATTTCATTTTTCAGTCATCGATCCTTACGTTCAGATGAGAATTGTAACGGTCGGAACACATCAACTTTAATCGTTTAATCGTTTAAATAATCACTTTTAATAACCACTTAACGTACAAGAATCTATTGATTCGACAACATGATGTTCCATCCATTTAATCCGTTTCACAATTATCGCCGTACGATAACCATCATCATTGCGTATGACGTGTATCAACGCTATAATACTATAGATTAATACGGGAAGTTTTAGTTTCTTTTTAAAAAAAAAATAAAAAAAAAAAAAAACAAAACAAACAAATAATAATAATAATCAATGCATATCGTGTATCACGAGAGAGATGATAGATGATATATAAAAATAATATATCGATGTATATTGCATCAAATTTAGTTATCAAAGGAATAACTAACGCGTGTGTTATGCCGCAACAGATCTTTGATAATCTATCGCTCGAACGATAGATATCAACTTTTCAAAACGTGCAACTTGTGTTACAACGCGATGCATTTATCCCAAAATCGTAATTGCCAAAAATTAATCAATTTTTGCCAAATTACCGACCGTCGATCATCATAATTAATACACACGTATACGTTAAGGGGTTAAAAAAGAAGATCTATCGAGCTGCCTCCCACGTGTTATAAACACAACAATTTTACTCGCGATCCATATATATATATATATAAAATCTCTATAACCGACCGATCGAAATATCACTGTGTGTCTTCGAATAAGAAGTTTCATGACCACGGTTAGTAATAACGAGAACGATTAAGGGGGGAAAAAAGGGAAAAAAAAAAAAAAGAAAGAAGCACAGTTTTGTCACAGGACTGATACTACTACTCGATATTTATATTTTACAATAAAACAAAAACAAACAAATAATAATAATAATCAATGCATATCGTGTATCACGAGAGAGATGATAGATGATATATAAAAATAATATATCGATGTATATTGCATCAAATTTAGTTATCAAAGGAATAACTAACGCGTGTTATGCCGCAACAGATCTTTGATAATCTATCGCTCGAACGATAGATATCAACTTTTCAAAACGTGCAACTTGTGTTACAACGCGATGCATTTATCCCAAAATCGTAATTGCCAAAAATTAATCAATTTTTGCCAAATTACCGACCGTCGATCATCATAATTAATACACACGTATACGTTAAGGGGTTAAAAAAGAAGATCTATCGAGCTGCCTCCCACGTGTTATAAACACAACAATTTTACTCGCGATCCATATATATATATATATAAAATCTCTATAACCGACCGATCGAAATATCACTGTGTGTCTTCGAATAAGAAGTTTCATGACCACGGTTAGTAATAACGAGAACGATTAAAAGGGGAAAAAAAAAAAAAAAAAAAAAAAAAGAAGCACAGTTTTGTCACAGGACTGATACTACTACTCGATATTTATATTTTACAATAAGTCGTATCTCGAACACAATGTATCGTCGAATCGGACACACCAGGCGTCGCCCTTTTCCTATCTTTTTCCACTTACGAACTATTATTTCTTCCAACTACTTAATCACGCGATCAACGCATATATCATTATTTTTTTTTTCTTCTTCTTCTTCCTCTTCTTCTTCTTTTAAATTAAACGGAAGGAGAGAAAGCACGTTCTCCATCGATGAAAATAAAATAATAAGATTCGAAACGGTGGCTGGTTTAGACGTATCTCCAAACTCAGCCCGATAACTCGCTAGTTCTCGATTTAAACTGTATCACATTTTCTCGTCACCAACGATCCCTCCATTTCCTCTCTCTCTCTCTCTCTGTCTCTCCTTCCTCTTCTTCTCCTTTCCTTTCTCCTTTTCTTCTCTTGCCTGCCCCATCTCTCCACACGCCTCGTTCTCCCCTCTCATCGACCGACCCTTTCAGTACACCACTTCCAAGGTGCACGCTTCATGAGAAGGTCTTGATGATGTCACGAAGGCTGGTGTAGGTGCCAACTATCAGGCCGAGGATCCCGAAAAGTACCAACGACATGTTCTTCGCGACCATTATGGATCTCTCCGTTCTGTCGCACACCGTCCAAAATGTGCAGATCTGGATGATCGCGGGGAACGCCAATCCCAGGCCGGACAGGCACAGAGCACCGAACAACGATATGAAGAGGTCCAATTGGGGGATCGCCACGGCCAACAGGACTGTAAGAAAACGGAGAACAGGTTTAACCAACGTTTTCTTCTCTCTCTCTGTTGGATAAGTTCTTTTTTTAAACTATCTTTCTTTCGATCAAATTCTTAAGTATATTAAAGGAAAGTGTAATATGGCATTGTGATATGAAGATCTTTGATCGATATTCACATTGACTTTTTCTTTCTTTTTTTTTTTTTGCAAATAAAAATATGCCTCTAACTATTATCACGTTAAGAACGTTGAAAATTTGGAATATTCTGGACGATTTCGTGAAATAAATTAATTAGCAATTAAATTTAGTAAATTTGGTAATCGTTATTAAAGTTAAAGTTATCAAAAGAAGATTTTCAACGAAGTACGGTTAGATTCAATTAGGTCTTGGGAATAATTACTCGGTGTCAGAAGGGATCCGGGTCAGGGAGAATCTGAAGCAGTTACATCTGTACAATAGTTAGTTTTAACCAGTTTGAATCAAACGCAAATAAGCCTTTACACCAATTACATGGAGGAAGAGCTCAAGATTCAATAACACTTATATTTCGTTTAACTCTGATTATCCGGAGCCTCAATTAACCCTCATTAATCCCGTCTATAGTTAAAATCGAAAAGAATAAAATATCTTCGTCCGTTTAAAACCGAAGAATTCTTCTTTAACTTCTTCCTTTTAAAAGAAAAAAAAAGTTTCTTTACCATCATAAAAAAACAGCTTCCTCCATCCTTGAAAAGGATATTCAACCGTTAACGCGAAAAAACGCATCGAAGGAAAAAACGTGTTCGAAGTAAAAAATCGATACTTGAGCAACACACGCCGAGAAATGTAATCGATGGTGCGATCAATACGCAGCCGTTGGCTCGATTCCTGGCCGGGATTGACGTCAGATCGGGTGAAGGACTCTTACAGACGTTCACTTACACGTGAGAAGGACGAGGCTGGTCCTCACGACGTATTCCCACAACAATTTGTGCGAATTCTTCTCGAGATTTGGGGCGATATACTCGTTCCAAATGATGTCGATCGCAACGTAGCACTGGATAGGATGGGTGAAAAAGATGGCTATGGCCAGCAAGATTTGAACAGCGTTCGCCAGGGCGAGAGGGTTGCCCAAACTGAAGGTGATGCTACCCTCGATGGCGCTGCCATAACGAATGTATCCGAAGAAACCCATCCCTGTGTAAAGGGCAACTATTACGCCCATCCCTATGTTCAACACGCCAAAAGTCTTCATGAACACCTTTGGCTTCTTCATTTCGTTCTCCAGTGGCATGATCTGTGAATCAGGGGATTTTGATTGAAAATGAGATGGAAATTTTGGAAAATTAAAAATTATTACATTATTCTTTTATTTTGAAATATTCGGATATATATAAAATATATAGAGAGAAACTTTGAAATGTTTCAACGTATCCAAATATATAAATAAAATTAAAATTTGTAATTTTTGAATGTTAAATTTATAATTTAAGAAAGATCTTTCAAAATCTGATTAAATATAAATAAACACTCACCACGCCAATAGCCTCGAGAGCGAAGAGCACAGTGCCAAAGTAAAGGGGAAAGTTTTCGACGTTCCCGATCACATCGCGATTTTCAAACGATAAAGGTTCCCTAAATATATAGTACAATATTATGCCAAAACCGATGAACGTAATGAAATTAGCGACCGTGGAGCACGGCGCCAAGAACTTTAGATTTCTGATCCAATTGACCAAGATCAGGGGCAGCAAGATTGCTAGCATGTACAGCCTGAGATCGATATCTGAAACATATGTTTTCAATGCCTGAAACCAAAAAAAAAAGAAGGAAATATTCATTATTTAGTTGCTTAAAAGTGAAATTTGCATTCCAAAAACGAAACAAAAATATACACGTACAATTTTTATATTCTTTCATACTGTGTAATAATTATACACAGTAAAATGAAGGATGTTGACGTGAAAAATGTAATGTAATGTAAAAATTGAGGATGCATGTGAGAATTAGATTGATGTTATCAGAAGTAATATTAATATTTATACATCTCGTACATAAGATATTCCTATTATTGTTTAACTTTCTTTACTTAACTTTCCTTCCCTTACACTCAATTTTCCTTTATTTTACTTTACTTACTTACTTACTTATACTTCAATTTACCTCGACCTCCTTCTAACATTTCCTTTCCCTTCTTTCTTCCCTTCTATTCTTTTCACCTGTGCATCGCGATTCTCTCGTTATTTCTCGACCTGCACAATTTTTCAACGACAAAAGCGTGAACGTCGACGATCGTCATCGATATCGGCCGTTTTCTCGCGTTTTGAATTCAAGGGCGGCCGGAAATGAGCCACGACTCGGTTCTTAACACGTACCATTTACCGACCGTACAACCTTCGCCTTACGTAATGAAAACATGACGCAACACGAGCACGGTTGTAGCACATTTTTGCCATGAACCATCGGGTTGAACGTAATTTTCCTTAGAGAAAGAGTTTCTTTCGAACGATTGCCTTATATAAACCTGCATTTTACGTAATTACGTAACCGGACTTGGTCGGTATACAAGAATGGATCTGTTTGACGATGAAAAGGCCCTTTTTAGTAGAAGTTAACCAATGGCGTGTATCTACTTCCGGTAAAGAGGGATCGATACAATTTTTTTGTCGATCATCAAGCGTTAAATTTTTAACTCAACTTGTTTCTGATTTTTTTTTATAAATAAAAAGAAGCTAATATATGGCAAAGGAATTTCGGTTTGTCATTTGACAGATAATTTATTTGTTTGTTTTTAATCGATCGAACGTAATTGATCTCTCTAGCGATAGACAATCATTAATTATTGATATGAAATATTATACGGAATGTTTTATTAATCTCTTATCTCGTTTTCGATCTCGATTTTAATTTTATTATTTTTGATTACCTATTTTGATTATTGTCTCTATAAAATTGCAACGTGATCTTAAAGATCAATAAATTTTATTTAATCCTAAGGAATGTTACGATAACATGTTCGATAAAATTCTAAGTGGGATAAAAGTTTTTATCAGTGAAAGAATTCCATGATTTCTGTGATATGAGTGAAATGAGATAAATTAATGTGCGAGTGATTAGTGGAATTTTTTGGAAAGAAATTATGATAAACTAGATGTTAGATAATTTTTCTTTCTTTTCTTTTTTTTTTTTTTTTTGATTCCAATTTATAAATCAAAAATCGAATATATATTTCCTATTATATTATTTTTTTCAACTCAAAAAACTCGAATGATGAAATAAAAAAAAAAAATTCTATAAATATTCACACGTTCATTTATCAAATATACCGATTGCCCAAATTTCTATTACCATATTTTCTATATCGATCTAAACGACGAATCCCAAAAATAGGAGATCCTAAAAATACAACGGATAACGTAATTTATGTAAGAAAGAGAAAAAATTGGAAATCCATTTACCCACCTATTTTTCAACACTACCGCCTTATTTATAACTCGTTTCACAGACTATTTGCATATACATATCCTTGAGAAGAAGAAGAAGAAGAAGAAGAAGAAGAAGAAATGAAGAAATTCCATTTATAATCCCTCGCTCGAGTTTAACGCGTAGAAATACATACGTTTTCGTTTTGAATGGACTATAAATATTAAAATAGGATCGCTTTGTACGATTTTATTGGGATCACGATAATTACGCGTGGCCCGGATGACGGAACAACGTGATACTCTGGTTCTTTTATCGAAAAACGTGTGTTTACGCGTACGCGTATAATAATGAAATTCTAACGAATGGAAACGATAATGACACGATGCAACCTAGTAGTGGTGGTGCACTACTGTTGCAGTAAATGCCAGGGTAAACGGTAATGGCGGTAATGGTATGGTGAAGGTACCGGTCACTGTCCATTTTCTCGAACATTCGTATTACTAAGTTCAACACGGCACGATTGAACGGCGGCAACATTCGTATTAAATGATTACGGTAAATACGAAGGAAAGGAATAATAAACGATGTCGTTTGCTAAGTTTGAAAAGACAGAGATACTGTTAGCTTCTACCGCTATTGAATCGTATATGCATCGTTGCTTATAATGTAAATATAACAATCTGTTTATATATCAAAACACGATACATTAATTTTTCTTTGTTACAGATGAAACTGTATTGGAGTTGCATTGTGCATATTAAGTTGTATCGATTGATAGATGGTATACATTAAGAAGAAGTAAGTATATACTAATTTTCTATTTTATTAATTTAAGAAGAAAAAGAAGTTGCATGCAGAATGGAATAAAAGTTAGAATGGAGAAAAAAAAAAATATGGGGGAGCAAGTTTAATAACAATCTGTCAAATTAAAACTAATTAAAAGTCAAAGCGTAGCGCCACGTATAAGCATAATAATATCCAAAACAAACATTCCTCTATAAATAGATTACTATGCAAGATATATGTAATAGTATCATAAAATAGACTGATGTATATAGTGAGCGTAATGCATACTGTGCCAATTATAGAAGTAGCAGTTGAACAATCAATTTGTTCGGATTACATTAATTTGAGGGATTATATCGTCAGATCGAGCTTGGATGGATAGAGATTAAGAAAAAAAGGAAAGGAATAAAATTTTTCGCCGGCAACAGCGATCCGAGAATAAGCGATCACCGTCATCGTCTAAAAATTATACCAAACTGTGAGAGATCAAACACGTATGATTCATTAACGAGTATGCCAATTACGATATACGCACGTGCGAGACACGTGTAAAACGTAAGCGTACTCAAGAATTCTCATTTTCTCTACCCGGCACAAATTTCGCAAGCCTCGCGTTCCAACCGCGAAATAACACGAAACGAAACGCCTCCAGTTGACAAAAACGAAAGTTACGAATCGAAAGATTATTAATCGTGCCAAATATAGAACGATGCGCCCATATGTGTATATATATAAAGAGTCTTCAGAGAGACACAGAGATCCTCGTCGTTCGCATTGACAGCGAATCGAAAAGAAAAAGGAAACATTGGAAACGCTATCACCTCTAACTTGTAGATCGCCTTGAGGCAGCGCCATTTTGGTCGAGCCTCTTTTATTCGCGCGACCGTGGCGTCTCGTTATTCTAATTCCTGTCTCGTTTCAGGATGCACGATCAACAGGGAGGAATACCTTAATCGGATTTGCAAGGGCATGGTTGAATGGGAGGAAAAAAAAAATAATACTTTGGTATACATTACGGTGTCGAGCATGTTTCAAGAATCTGCAATAATTCGAATCGATAAGTATAATTGGATAATGGAAATCTGTGGAATCATCAGGATTAATGAGATTATATTTTGTTTACATTATTTCGAAGAAATCATTTTTTGCCCGACGATTATATAACATTGTGTGTATACGATATTGTTATAAAAAGTATTTGTTGGTTATACTTCGAGAAGTGTGACGATATCGATGATAAAGAATAATATTTCCTGATATCGATCAAATAAATAAATAAATAAATAAAAAAAAAAAATACGCGATTCAATAAATGTTTTTAATATGCGATTGGAAAAATTGGATTAAATGGGATAAAATTTGTTGTTTGTGTTACGATTAATAACTTGTTATAGATTAGTGTATCGAGAAACGTTTATACGTTTTCTTGAATTATTTTATTTTCACTTTTTTTTCGCTGTTCTCTGTTTTCTTTTCGACTTCTTTGAAACTAGGTTTTGATATTGAAAACCAGCCGAATAGTTTCCCCGATTCAGATATTAGCGAAACCGGTTCGATTTTACTTCTCACGCACGAATGGGATATGTTTCATTGCAGGAAAAATTATCTTCCACTTCCCGAACCGATACAGCAACACTTTATTTCCTGTCGTAGCCGGATTAAACCGATTTCGATCGGTTTATTCGAGTTATACAACAAATCGTAATGCGACATTCAATCGATTGTCCAATTAACAACTTCCGTTAGAAGTTCTTTTTATTCTTTTTTTTTTTTTTTTTTTATTCTTCTCAAATTACAGAATGACGAATCTTAATTAATCGATTGAAAAATTGAATTATTATTGTTACATCCAATCCTTTGCTTCAGATGTTTTCGCTATTAGATATCGGTAAGTAATTCAAATTAGATTAATTGTGTGAAAATAACGAGAAATATAATTTTTTGGAAAGAGATTCTAAAATTAACTAAAAATCTAAATTGAAATCGGTGAATCGGTATAGTTGTTTATAAACTTTCTTCTAGGAAATATACGTATATAAAGAAAAATGTAATAAACTTTTATCATAAGATCGAAAGGAAGCAAACTTTTTCATACGATTTTTCTGTACAATAAAAAAAAATATAATAATAACAATAATAAAAAGTAAAAGTAAAATGTTATATTAAATCAAATCCAACAATATTCTACAAAATTTTCCTTTTCGAATAAAAATATAAATGAAAATCTCAAACGAGCATCATCCGATATCAAATACACTCAACAACATCTCAAAAATTGATCCAGAAATGTCAATATTAAAATTTATATTCGATAAATGCCAAATCGAATTCAAACAAACATCCATCGAGCCAATTAAACAAATTTCTTAAATCAACGATTTCACAAGAAACGAAACCCACTTATCACATAATCCACGCGAATTGGAATTGGAAACAAGAAATCGAGTCAAAAACCCGATAAATTCCCCCGTCAAAACTTTTTTTCCACCCCGCTCCGTCTTCCTTCCTCCCCCAAACAGGAGGAAATCGCAAATCGCGTGCATATCCGCGAGCAATACCGGTCGACCGATTATTTCAAGCAAAATTCTCCGTGTCGACCCGTTTGGAAACTGGATAGTCGCGAGCGCAGGTGTGCGTGTGTACGCGCCCGTTTCACCGTGCAATGGAACGCAGCAGACCTCCTGCGCTGTAATGGATAGTTTAGTTACGACACACGTTATTACGGCAAGTAAGTTGGAAAACGTGGAGCGGCAACAACACACAAAACTCTTCGAATCGAATTCGATCGTGCAGAGAATCCGTCTGGATCGGTATTGGATACCATCGTTTCGTGGCCGAGAACCGGTGAGCTTTCGAATTATATTTCTTTTTTCCCCTCTCTCTCTCTCTCTCTCGGGAGACNCTGT